CTCAGTCGACCAGTGGTGTTTGAGTAGAGAGCTTGTATGAGGTTAATGTACTTCTTTGGTACACCTTTCAATGACAGACACTGCCACAGAACCTCACGATCCACTGATTCAAATGCCGCCTTAAGGTCCAGGAAGACAACTATTGTCGGACGCCTAAATGTGTGTCTGTGTTCCAGGACCTGTCGTAGTGTGAAGATGTGGTCTATACAGCCACGTCCAGGTCGAAAACCAGCCTGGTTTTCTCTAGTCTTCTCTTCACGAGCTTTCGTTAAGCGTCGAAGTATTATTGAGGCCAATATTTTAGATACTATATTAGTTAGACTTATTCCCCTGTGATTGTCACAAGCAGACTTTTGTCCTTTCTTATGGATTGAGACAATCAGTTATTGAGACTACTCGGATGGGATTACGTCCAGTTCCCAGATTCTACCTAAGATCTCAGTCAACCTAGCTGCTAAAACTGGACCACCATCCTTAAATATCTCAGGGGTCAGTCTATCAGGACCTGCAGCTCGTCCTCGCTTCAGATTTCCTAAAGCTTTTTCAACTTCATTAAGACTAGGGAGACTTAGGTCGATTTGCCATTCAGGATGACTGGAGATCGTGGGTAACTGAAGAGTGGCTCGAGGCCATTTGAACTGATCCCTAAAGTGTTCTGCCCATTGATCCAGTCTCCTGGATTGAGAATAAATAATAGTCCCATCATTTTCTGAGATAGTCTCACTTACACTAGGATTCCTAATACCAGTTTCCTTGATAAGTCGGAAAAGTTGTCTACTGTTGCCGATCGCCGCTGCCTTTTCCATCGCTTTTGCTTTCGCCACCCACCACTGTTCGCGATCGTGACGTAGGCTTTTTATAAGTCTGCGCCTAAGTTGACTTCGTTCTTCATCATGTTCAGAGCTAGGTGGGATGAGTTTTCGAGCATCCATCAGATCGGTGGATGCTACTGAGACCCACGGTTTCATTCTAGCCTTATGGTCAACCTTACTAGCAGATATCACTGCTGTTTCCACAGCCTTTTTGATATCATTCCATCCTGCTTCCGGATGGGAATCGCTTAAATGGTCGCCTAACTGTTTTTCTAGTTGTTCCTGAAATATATTTTTCGCCTTATTATCATTAAGTAAAACCCTAAGAGGCTTCCTTACGGTGTCTTTCCTACGCCCAGTAAGCTTCAAACAAATACGCGCTCGCACTAGGGCATGATCTGAATCTAGACATGTGCTCCAGAACGAGCGACAGTCCTCTATCGAACCCCTCCATCGGTGGCTGATGGCAATGTGATCTAGTTGAGTCCAACGTTGAGACGACTTTGGAGGTCGCCAGGTCAACAGATGCTTTTCCTTATGCCTAAAGTTAGTGTTTGCTAAGAATAGGCGGTTGTCTGACCATGCTTGCAACAGACGGTCACTATTGTCTGTTCTCTGAGCCGGGACACCATAACATCCACCTAGGTGTCTCTCCTGTTCACTTAGTCTACCTACTTAAGCATTAAAGTCACCAGCCATTATAACTATATCAGAGCGCCTAGCTTTTTGGAGAAGGTCCGAAAGCTTTCTGTAAAACTCATCCTTAACCTCGTCTGAACTGCATTCAGTGGAGGCATAGGCAGATACGACGAAGAGGCAACGGCGATTGTCCCTATCTTTCCGAGTCCTTACTGTCCCGTTTAGTCGGACAGCGCACAATCGACTATCTATTGGGATCCAGTCAAGGAGAGATTGTTCTGCCCTAGAACTCAATGCTATGCCTACGCCAGCAAGAACCCGGGAAGCAGCATCAGGGCTACCGGATACACGAAGAGTAAATCGAGCTGCTTCTTTATTTTGACATGGTGTGGTCAAGTGTATGACGTGACTCGGATCCTGTATGCGCGTTTCCGAGACGCAGCATACATCGATGGCACGAGATTCTAAAGTTCTAGCTAAGGAAGCCTGTTGCCCTATTTGACACAATGTCCGTACATTAAATGCTCCAACATGTAGTCTAGAACGAGGTTTAAGGAGACCAGGAACGACGTTTCGCGAACTCATATCGTCTGCATTAGCTGTGCACTGTGATGAATGAATGTGAGAAGAGTTAGTCGTGGAGATAAGAGAGGTACTAGGGGGTGTAGGAAGTATTTGATTTTGACCAATTCGGTCTCGCGTGCTGTTATGGGTATGAGGGCGGTTGTCACTTCCCGGCTGCCCACACCGTGGAAGGTTGTTTCTTGAGGGACCTGAAAAGGACGATAGATTAGTATTGGTGCGTGACCGCAGACCCCAAGGGACAACTGCTTGAGGCCAGTCACGCATGGCCTTTTTATCAAATGTTTTTTGAGGATTAGCTCCGTTCTTAAAGGCCCTTAGTGGGCACCCTTACCCAAGGAGACGGAAATCCGTGAGTTAGGGGAGGTGTGACATTTTTAGGGCCGACCTTTTCTAAACCTTCCTTCCTTTTGAGAAGGCAGCATCGCTGCGGATGCTGGTTGTCCGAGGGAAACACCTTACTGCTGTCACACCCCTCTGCAGTGAGCAGTACAACTTCGCCCTCAGACCTTGAGTAGCTGCTTTTAGTCTCATCGTTCTCCAATCGACCTGCCTGGCACGGTAGAACCTTGAGGAACATATGTTCCAGCCAATATAGCTCGGTTGGTTCATCACGATAGGCAAGCCCGACCACCACGTCAAGGTAGCAGCTACGGTCGGGCATCAGTGCTAGTGGGCTGGTATGTGACAAAATTTCAGCACGGATGCGGAGGGCTCGATTAATTCCCACCAACTTGCGTCATTTATAGTGTAGGCGAGATATCCGTCCACTAACCAAAGGACGAGTCTACTGCACATCACTTCACTCCGTCCTACTAAGCCATTTTGTAGTTGTAAACTACCTGGTTGGTATTTTGGGGCACAGTTTTGGAGGTTTGCGATTTTTTTTTACACATTTGAAACCATCAATCAATCATTGTTAGACCACCATTAGAAACCTGGAAGCACTGGACGGCCGTTTTGTCCTGGCTGGTGTCTGCGAGATGATAGTGCTCGATGTTTAGAGATCTTGAATGATATGGCCTAAGACAACTGGCAATTGTGCAGGTGCATCCATTCTTTGAATTTCCTCTCAAATCGTAATCTCCTGAATAACTCACGAATTTTTTAACTGATGCTTCTGCGGTGTATATCTCAAATGATGTCAGTCAGTCAGTTGCAACGTAGGGACTTCGTTCGTACGTAAATCATGTTAGGTTTCCATACTGCATTAGCCTAGAGTCACAACTGTCAATTCAAACCCAGTGGTTGTACAGATTAGATAAGTATTATGGATTATGTATAAGATCAGTGTTCGAGGTGACTTTCGGATGAGAACGATAGAGGTGATGATGTAATAATAAAATTACGATTTCAGTGAGCACAAAGAATGGATGCACCTGTGCCATTCAAACGATATTGAGCCATGTCGTTCAAGGTCTTTAACCACCGGTTACGATTGTCTTGCAGACCGCAAGCAGGTAGTCGACACCTACCAACATAGCTGTCTAGTTTTCAGTGGCTTCATAGATTTGTTCTGTTTCGTTTTAGCTTTCTTTCGACTGATTCCTTCATCACGAACATTGCTCGTCGATGCAGTCGTTGGGTTTGCATACGTAACACGTCCGAACCACCTCAACTGATGAAGTTTCAATACTTCATCTACTGATATATTCGATCAATAGTCTCTCCAATTACTGCTTATTCTTTTACCACCTTCTTTCTTATGGGATAAATTGACAATTGCGTCTCTGTGCTAATGTATTGTGGCAACTTGAACTGAGATACGTACGTATGAATTCTTGCGTTGTAACTGACTGACTGAAGTAGCCTTGGGAACATTCATTTCTTGTGTTCACTTCCTGCTTTTTGAACTATACTCTTAATATTTAATCTTCACCATTGTGGTGGTGGTGTTTGGTTCTCTGAGCTACAACTCTTCTCCAGCATCTCAAAATCTTCATCATTTTCTATACTGCCCTTAGTCAGACTCCTGCTTTTCATCTCGTTATTGTCTTCTCTCCATGTCGAACGCGGTGTAGCAACTTGGGTTGACCCATGCTTTTGCTTTGCTCTATGTTAATTATGAATAACATGGAAATGGGACAATTATACTGCTGCAGGAAGTATTTTAAATAAAATTCGATTAATGTATCCTTAATTTTGTGGAATATACTTCACATTTATAGTTTTCCTGACCCCATTCTATTCGAGTAATACCTTCCTATTGAAATGTGGCGGTTACGTTTGTAATCATTCTTACAATGTCGAATATGCTGTTTTTCCTACTAGGTTATTTCTTTAGTACATAATATACTTTTTGAGAACATCTAACGTTACAATATAGATGACTCTATTCTTGTTTTGTCTCCTACGATAATTAAAAAACTAGTTTTGTTGGATCAAGTGTGGTGAGTTGGGTGGAAGTGTAACTTCACTGTAGGAAATTCCAGCGGTTATTGTTCTTACATTATAAGTAGTCAATGTTCAGGAAACTACAGTGATTGAATTTTGAACTATTATGGATGCATCATAATATCCATTCAACATGTGTTCGATATTACAACAATCAAATTATTCTCACTGTTACAAAAACTGGATGGTTTTTCCAGACTCGTCTATTCAGGTCAGTTATGAAAGTGACAAAATATTATTTTGTTTGTAAAGAGATAGATAGCTTGGTAATTGTTCCTAATCCTTATATTTTGAGAAGGCCATAGGGTTTCATGTAATAGTGTATGGTTTTGATACACTGGTTAATTAGATAATGGAAGCATAAACTTACACCAGCACAATCACTGAATTTTGAGTTAGGTAGTCTGTGTAGTTGGTGAAACTCAAAATGAGGTATGGCTTATCGGTTTCAGTTTCGTGGTTAGCAATTGTTTAAATATTCGCAAATGACTTTTTATGTAACGGTTAGTTTTTTTTAATAAAACTATGACAGTTTTAAACCTATCAGTGCGTTTTTGTTGTTTTTACTTTAAGAAAACCAACACTCCTCCAACTTAAATGCTTCAAAGTTTTTCCATTCACCAGAAAGTCATCGTGACCATGGGTCACGGTATGCCTCATCTATTTCCAGATCACCTTCATTCCGAAATTCTCATAATGAACACTATCGTCATCATCCGAATCGGTCATCCAACTCTGCTTCTAAATATCATCGTTGTCAGCGTCATTATAAATCCCCAGAGCGGAGTGCCCGAGATTTCACCTCTGGAAAGCACAGTAGGTCATCTGTTTCTTCAAATCAGCCAAGGAGACGTACTCATCACTCTCCAGTACCACCAAATAATCCCAGTTCTTTCCGTCGATTTGAACGTGAACGAATAACTCTCCCCAACAGACGGTTTCGTGCTCTATCTCCGGTGCTAAACAGAAATAATTATAGGAGAATTAGCATTAATTCTTTGAAAGTATCTGGCCCACGTTTCAGCCGTACTCATCACCAAAGAAGATTTTAACCATAAACGCACATTACTGTACAGCTTCAAATCTCACATCTTTTATAGCGAAGAAATCGAACAACAAATATATTAGCTATTTTTACTTTGGAAGTTATTCTGTGTGTGTTTCTTTATTTTTGTTAGCTTCTCATTCTTGGTTACGTACCATATTTTCAATAAAAATAAAAGATTGTACTAAGCGATGCTGCTACTTGTTTGTCCAGATGTTCATGCATCAGTGTTTATTTTTCTGTACATATTTGATTAATTTTTAATTTTCAACTCTACTGAAATTTCTGTTGCGTTCAAACATCGAGATTTTATGTAACTGCGTTACACAGGACCCGTCATATACAAACAGTTGCGAATCATAAAAAGTATCTATGTTATTATTGCCCGCCAAATTAGTGGAAAATATGTTTAACATTCAGATATACCATTATACAACCGAATTAACTGGTTGAACTCATTAGCTTGACTATAAAAATAAACAGACATGTATAGCGATGATCAGTCCGTTGCGATCTAATTTGCAAACCCGATGTCTCTGACAGTATAGAAATTAAAAGTCTTTTAACCACTAGGTCGAATAATAGTTATGAAGCCAGCTGTTTAGTGCAAAGATAGCCTAAGTTTTTAGATTTTCTATCTTAACTAAATGTCATTTGACAGTCTTCCCATGATTTAAAGCATGTTAGTACCGAAAATGAATATTAAATTTTTAAGGACATAACACCTCTTTGTGATCGAATAATGTTTTGGTTTTTTGAAGAGACACATCCTATTTTAACACATGTTGTATTTCTTGGTATCGATAATCAAATGTGTCAGGTATTAATATCTTTCTTGCAATCTCGAGTTGAGATATCTAGCAACATTACAAAAACGGTACTTATCAATATTATCCTCAATCCTATAAGAAAAGTCCGCAAGTTTTGTTTATTATAATAATGAACGGAGTGTTTACATTGAGTTTTAACAAGGATATTGATAAGGAAACGATTTGAAAGGATGAAATTAATGTTTCGTTTCTGGGTACATACTTGTAGTAAACTAAACACTTGGTATTTCCGGATTTGTTTTGTTTAAACTTACATAAAATGGAATGCTAATGACACGTAAACTGCAGAGGGTTTTATACTTTAACTCTATAATGCACTTGAGCACAAAGAAAATAGTTTTACAAATGTCATCTTCAATTTAAGCAAATCTCATTTCGGAATTTATTTTTAGTTCCATTGTGTATATCGTGTAAAATGGTATTCTAGCAATTAAACCAATACAACTTTCAACCGTTGGGTCACAAGTCTAAACTACGCTAAGCCCACTTAAGTCTGAGTAGCGACATAAAATTATTAGCTCCTAAAGTGTGGTCAAGGGATGAGTATACGATTCTGTATTTGATGAATAAGTTGTTTTCCACTAGTTTCTATTTTAGCGCTTATAACATCTTTACGAATTTCCCCAAGCCTGCGTCTTGATTTTAAGAATGAAATTTATCTTTTTTCTGATAGTTAATAGTCGCATAATCCATATTCTATCTCCAACTAACTCACACGAGTAGCATTAGAGTGCACTGAAAGTGCGATTGATTACACTAAAAGTTGAAGTGCATTTAGAAAATAAGCATCACATTACTGCTATCATCAATATTATCATTCGGCTTCCTGGACGATGGTTGTTATGTACTCAGGTGAGTCATCATGCTACGTAACCGTCGTCCAGGAAGCCGAACGATAATATTGATGATAGTAGTAATGTGATGCCTATTTCCTTAATGCACTTCAAATTGTAACGCAATCGATAGCACTTTCAGTGCACTCTAATGCTATTGTTGAGGATAAATTATGGGTGACAGTGAATTATGCGACTATAAACTATTGTTCCTATATTTGTCCATGGCTTTTCTCGTTAGTTGATAAATTTGGTCGATTGCTGACTACCAAGCTTCCGAAATTCTAGTGTTCTTAGTATTCCCTCAATTCAGCGTTTCAACATTTTCGATTAGTGATTATACGCAACGACGTACCCTTATTTATATTAATACATGACGTTGAAGGTCAACAACAACCAATCGAGGTCGACACGACAAATCACTGGTCACATATAGCGAAATTCAAATACTTCACTGTTATCTAGTCTTTGCTGATGTTGTTTAGACAAACAATGAAAGCTCTACAATTCAGCCATCCAGTTTCAGAGAACGAAACTCCAGAAAAATCTGGAGACTAGTAATCCCAGGTATTTTTCGGAGACCTACGTAGTTTCTTGTGAGCACTGTAGAATGTGTGCACTCTCTCTCACCAACACCAGATTGCTTCGTAGTTATTCCAAAGAAACAAGTAGGATTTTACGTGTGACAAGATCAGGGTCATGTACATACGTTTACCCGTGCATGGCAATCGGCTTGTGTGTTACCACATGTTGAGACAATAAATAAAGATTCAGGAGTATCTTCTTTGAAATCATGAGGATATCAGAAGACAAACCAGTTTGTTCGTGTTCCTACAAGTGATACTTAAGATTATTTATGCTAGCAAACTATGCTGTTTTTAACACATCAAGTAACTTTAAATTTATAAGACTAAAGTTAACCCATTGTGTCACTGACGAATCAACGATTTAGTGAGCTTCTGCATTGAATTAAAAACAGAGCAGTCTTCTGGAAGATCTGAGGATAATGCCGTGAATTCCGACTGTCAAGAGTGGGATGCACAATTGAGTTGAGGGAAGATATTAAGTCGAGACGGGATGAGTGCTATGTAACCGAACTACCACGTTTGTCTATTCTTAGTTTTTCTCAAAAGCGTCAAGTGGCGTTTGTGATATTCGCACATTCACCTTCTTATAATTTTTCATTAATTTCTCGATTTCTACGCAACTTTTATGATATGGAGTTTTCTGATTCGATTGCACAAAGGACTATTTTATCTGTTAAACTGCTGTAGAGCCAGAACAAATGACAGTTGAAAAACTATATTCATCCTTAATTCATAAATAACAGTAATTGTCACTCCATATTGTTTAACAAGTTTGATCTGTCATAAGCACAGTAGATATTTGTACCGTTATGGTAATAACCTGTCAATTTTATTTTACTGTGGTGACTTGGACTGATGCATATTTATGCCATCCGCGTGATGATTGAATCCCTTTAAACGATTTAACGCTCAGGCATACTAATCGTAATGGATGATTTTAACATTCAAGTAGATAAGTAAACTGGGCGTAATCCCATCTGACGGTATCAATCCCTGATTGTCCCAATTTATAAGAAAGGACGGAAGTCCTCTTTTGGCAATCACAGAGAAATCAGTTTAACTAATAGTGTCTGAACTGTTAGCCTCGATAATACTTAGACGCCTAACTAGAGCTCGTAAAGAGAAGACTAGAGAAAACCAGGCTGGTTTCAAACTGGGACGTGCCTGTATAGACCACATATTCACACTACTAGCCCTGGAACACAGACACATTTGGGCGTCCAACAATAGTTATCTTTCTTGACCTTAAAGTGGAATTCGACTATGTCGATCGTGAGGTGCTATGACAGTGTCTGTCATTGAAAGATGTACACCAAATATACGAAAGCTCTACCATCATCATCGACAGAAAGGTAGAACTTTGCACGTCAGTACATCAAGTTGATATAACACATTAGTACAGAGATATAATTATCAATTCAAATCCCATAGTAGTAGAGGTAGTAAAAGTATAAGTAGTGATCGGAGAGATTAGGGTTCAAAGAGGTTATTCAAGAAGTATGATTTAGTAAGGTAAGTGTAGAAAAAGAACGATATAGGTGATGAGGAATTCAGGTTAGAATCCCAAAGAACGCAAAGAATAAATACACCTGCGCCACTGTAAACGGTTTTGCGAATGGATTTTGGGTCGATTACTAACATCTCCCGGACCCCAATCAGGTAGTCGACAACTACCGACATGATTCAGTACATTTTTCAGTGACTTCGCGGATTTCTACCATGTTTTGGTTTGGCGCACCGAGCTTTCGTCCAAGATATCCCTATATCACAAAACATAGCTCAACGAGGCAGTTGGTGGTTAGGCATACGCAGCACATGTCCCAACCACCTCAACTGATGAAGTTTCATTACTTTGTCTATTGATCTGCCATCCTTATCTAACACCCGTTTCCTAACAACAGCATTGCCTACTCGGCAGTCACACGATACTCGAGCAATGCATCGGAGACACATGTGATCGAAAACCAATAACCTACGAATATCTTCTACTCCCACTGGCCATGTTTCACAGCCATGTAGTAGGACCGAGCGAACTACTGCGCAGTGCACTCATCCTTTAGTCAGCAAACGGATATCTCGCCTACGCCATAAATGACGCAGGTTGGCAAAAGCCAATCGAGCTATCTGTATCCGTGCTGAGATTTCGTCAGTCACAAGGCTATCGGCACTGATGAGACTCCCGAGATGAGTGAAGAGGTCTACACACTCAACTACTTCACCACCTATCACTAGTTCAGGTGCCGGTGCAACCCAGTCTTGAAGCAACATTTTGCATTTCGAGGAGGAAAACCGCATCCCGAACATGCTTGCATTGTTGCTTAGGGTAATCAGAAGACTCTGCACTTTGTCAGAGTCTTCACCAAGTAGGACAATGTCATCGGCATATTCTAAGTCAATAAGCGAGCCACCTGGTAGGTCTACTCCTGAAAATTCAGACGAACATAATGTTATATCTAGGAGCATGTCGATGACGAAATTAAACAACAATGGGAAAAGTGGACATCCCTGAAGGACACCAAATGAAGTAATCAATTCCAATGACAATTCGCCATAAGCTCTCACTCAACCAGTAGTGTTCGAGTAGAGAGCTTGTATAAGGTTAATGTACTTCTTTAGTACACCTTTCAAAGACAGGCACTGCCACAGAACCTCACGATCCACTGAGTCAAATGCCGCCTTAAGGTCTAGGAAGACAACTATTCTCGAACGCCTAAATGTGTGTCTGTGTTCCAGGACCTGTCGTACCGTGAAGATGTGGTCTATACAGCCACGTCCAGGTCGAAAACAGTAGGCCACTATTTAGACTCATCAAGGAAACTGGTATTAGGAACCCAAGTGTGAGTGGGACTATTTCGGAAAAGGATGGTCTTATCATCCATTCTCAATCCAGGAGACTGGATCGATGGGCAGAACACTTTAGGGATCAGTTCAACTGGCCTCGAGTCACTCTTCGGTTACCCACGATCTCCAGTCATCGTGACTGGCAAATCGACGTAAGCACCCCTTGTTGAGAAAGCGCTAGGAAATCTGAAGCGAGGGCGAGCTGCAGGTCCTGATGGACTGACCCCTGAGATATTTAGGAATGGTGGTCCAATTTTAGCAGGT